AAAAAAAAAAAAAAAAAAAAAAAAAAAAAGTTGAATTTGCATTTTCTTCATAAAAATTGAAGTTAATAAAGTTGCTTCAAAGCAACGCAGCGCGAACTGTAAAGCAGTTTAACTACCATAATTTTTATTCTTTTCTATTTAACTGCTCAGAAAAAGTAGGCTTTTGGTTCTTTTTATCTAATTATTTTTGCAAATTCAACTTACCAATGTCTGGAGATGTGTTGGAGAAAACCTACCAAACATGATAAAGGTCTGTTTGTTTGCTAACGAAACCATTGGTTTGGCGATAGAACAGTGCAACCAAAGCAAAATACGGGAATCCTAAATAGGGTGACGCCATGCGTAAAGTGACCCTCAAATCTGCAATAGCTTTTTTTTTTATCAGAAATTGTCAAGAGATTTTACTTCTAACAGGGTAGGTTCAAACCGCAGTTTTGACGTGAAATTATTGATATAGCTGCGTTGTAACACAGAACACTTCTTGAAGGGCGCAACAGAAAAACTGAAAGTTTAGAGGTTCATGACGTTTGATAACAGTGCAGAACTCACAGTCGTCTGTTTAGATAACAGCTTATACAGTGCTTATCCCTTACCAAGCTATTGTTTTTTTGGATAAAACAATTTTGAAAGTTGAACCTGCAAAAAAAGTTTGCAACAATTTTATAATTAAACTAAATCATATAATAATTGTTTCTTATATGCTATAAAAATTTCTTTAAAAAATTTTCTATCACTTAAAATTATTCATTCGTACTAAAATTTTACAAGTATTTTACATTTTCTTCTGACTCATATACTAATTAGTTCAGTTTTGTTCAAAAACTTTTATGCAGATGTATTAGCCTTTTGCTCCTCATCCTTTCCCTCCTTTCCCTTCCTCCACTCTTCAAAAGAAAAGAATGACAATACATCAGTTAAATAGCCACTTTTAGCAAACTTCAGTGGAATAGATTAGGTGAAATTTGATTTTTTATTAGCTGTCGACTATCGATGCAATTCTTACAGCAATAAAAGTAACTTTCCCAGCAGAATTTTTTCGATAACCAGTTTTT